CCATCGTCGCTGTTGTTGTCACCTTCTTTCCTTGGCGCTTGGCGTGCTCATTCGTGAGCACCTTCACCCCTGGGACGAAGCTCTGCGCTGCTCATTTCCAAGTTCAGAACAACGTTCTCAAAACTCTTAGGGAGACTGAGCAGCAGGCAAATTGCGACGTCCTCGTCCTCCATCTTCGCACCGATGCTGCTAAGTTTGGCGGTGATGTTCAGGACCTCATTGCAGTGATGCATGACGTTGGCGCCGTCATCCATCTTCATGCTGAAGAGTTGCCGCTTAAGGTAGATCCTTCCCGCTTTCTGGGATCCACCGTACAGCACCTTCAGGCGTTGCCACGCAGTCCACGCTTCCTCGCAGTTGTCTACCACGTGGTGGTAATCCGCACCCATGTGCAACAACATCATTCCAAACGCGATGTTTCTGGTCTTGACGTAGTCGTCCTGCGCCCGAGGGTCCACGAAGGTCGGGGAGCTATCCCGGTTGACAGCGTGCCACACTGACTTTGTCAGGAACACGCCACGCATGTATCGACTCCAAGTCGAATAGTTGTCCCCATCGAACTTATCGATGAGGGCGTTGGAAGATGCGTGGCTGGCAGAGGACATTGCGCTTGGGCTCATAACCTGTTGATGGTATGGCACTGGTGTGACGAGAAGACCGCAAGAGACCGGGGGGAGCGAAGAGGCTTGCGGAGCGGAGCAGAGAACACTTGCTCAGCAGAAGGAGGATTCGAAAGTGATTGATTCATAGGTCTTAACTCTGCCTGTCCTAGACTGCATCCAATCACATGGTGCATCTAATCAACCTGATTTTACACGCGTCCAATCATCCTACGCGTCTAATTAACTCTAAGTAATTACCGTAAAAACCTACGTCGTAAATACTAAGCTGAATATGCGATTCGGATTGGACCGGTCACGTTTACCCAGCCTTTGGTGAAACCGATGACCATCAACACGAACTTAAAATTGATTCCGGTGACCCCTTTTGGCCCTTGCCTGCTTGCTCCTTCTGGGAAACCTCCATCCGATTTGTTTGTTCGGATAGGTTCCCGAGCATAGCCAGCACCTGATCCATCGCCCCCACAGACGCTGTCGACTTTTTTTTCAAATGGTTGTTATCGGTCTTGTTAGGACCGTCGGTTTTCACGACGGGTCCAGCTTGAGCAGTTGCCCCGGCTTCGCGCACGCTTAGGCTCATAACCTGTTAGAAAAGGAACGATGCACTTCTGCAAAAGTAGATAGAAGTAAAAGTAAAATATATTTAGCATTGGTACCAGGTTGCTTTACACTACAGCCCGAAGGTCCAGTGTCGCTAGGGCAGCCTAGGACAACCCCAGGTGACCGGTTGACTTTCGTTTGTTAATACTACAACATGCACTCCAGCAACTTGACCATGTACTTGTCGGATGGTACTGATCTTACCTGCTCATCTCGTACCACATTACAGCCGTATCGCCCTGTCTTAACTGTCAAGTTGTTTCTTGGTCGTCCCATTTATAAATTGTTGCCCTTTCTCTCCCTGCCCCATCTGCACGATCCTCTCCTCGTGGTCTCACATGCCAAACTGTCAGACAGCCAATCAGACAGGTGACACCGTCCTACGGTATAACACTTGAATCTTGAAACTTGAGATACCCGATGGTTTCTAACTCAACTTGCATTTCCCACTGCAAGGCCATCCTCGCGTATCATTACGACGCCCATACCAACACAAATGATCGTATATCATCACCTCAGTTCACACATCGCTTAACATAGTTCTTTGGCGGTTGTACCAATGTCGGCCACGGCGTGTTTTTCTCTCGGTTGTTGTTATATAATTAATTTGTCGCGTCGGACTTCTTCAAACTTAAATTCCTAATTTCTTATTATCCACTGTTTAGTTTCTAGTATTCGCCAGGTTGCATACCTTGGAGCTTCGTGACTGATAACTAGTCGACAAGTCTTGCGGACCTAATGCTCAATCGTGTCAGCATCCTAAGAGAAATGAGTTTACAGCAAATGCCATTATTCTCAGCATACCCGCAAGCTTTTTCAAGCACTCTCAATTGTGCACCCTATCCGACAACTGTGACATCGGTACCTAGCCGCATAATCTTGGCCAGAACAGCCGATGTTGTCGAGATATCATTTCCGCCACTTGGCCTAAGAACACTCTTGGGGTGTTTTGTTCGCATTGCTGTGCTTCAGATGGCGTGAAACATTCAAACAGAGGAGACACTCGAGACCAAATTCTGCACACTCTCCCACTGGCACCTACCGCACATCGAAGTGTTCGGTACCCAAACTAGCCAGCATCTGGTTTAGTTGCACTAAAGTTCTCACAAGCTGCTCACCTTAGCGACTCATGCCCGATAGAATAAGTGCCTTAGGCTCCAACAAGAGAACTGCATTCGGGTTCCGAATCGATGCCAATAACAACCCTTTTGCTGTCACGAGGCATGACAACTTAAGCCCTGGTGTATGTGCAGGTACGCTTCAGGTGACTGTGAGTGACAAAGGCCCCCATGCCCCAAAACAGCTCCATAATTTGTACTGTAACGGGGTGAGTCTGTTACATAATATTGACACTTCACAGAAGTACAGTACAATGATACGTAGTTGACTAAATATAAACTTGATTTAAAATAAACTTTCAACATTCGTAAAAAAAGCAGAATATAGTTGCAAAAATAGCGAATTTAAACAGAAAATTATGGCCAACTTTATTTCGCTAAAACTTACCAAAATCATACCATAGTTAACCCTAATATACAGCATACATATCCGATTCGAAAGGTTACTGACGTATACAGAAGAACCTGTCCAAATAAATATTGTAAGGACGCCGACATTTAAACAATTTATAGCACTAATTATTTCAGACAGGTATCAAACATTTGCTAGTCGCCGCACAGGATCGATGCAATCAGTTAATTTATCAAGGTTATTATAATAAAGAAGGTTTAATTTAAACAGGTCTAACTGTACCATGGTATCTTTCAGCCATGAAAGATACCATAATATATCTTTCGTATACATGTACGAAGCCTTGAAAGATACCATGGTATATCTTTCGTATACCATGCATCCTTCTAAGGTTTCGATCAAAGCAGAAATCAAGCGCTCATTCTTGATTTTACCAGCCACGACCCACATCTGATCATCCACCCATGACGCAGAAGTGCAACACCGCTACCACGAGCACTGGTGCGCCAATCCCTCTTCATGGCCTCACAGCGTCAGCCACCGCTGGCCCCATGGGTCCTCTCTTAGTAGAAGATTTTGCATTCATTGACCACATGGCTCACTTTGATCGTGAACGTATTCCGGAACGTGTGATCCACGCTAAAGGCGGTGGTGCTTTTGGCTACTTTGAAGTAACCCACACTAATATCACCAAATTCTGCAGTGCCAAACTGTTCAATAGTGTTGGCAAACGCACACCTGTAGCCATTCGTTTCTCAGCAGTGGGTGGGGAACAAGGCAGCGCCGATACAGTGCGTGATCCACGAGGTTTTGCCATTAAATTTTACACGGAAGAAGGCAATTGGGATCTTGTAGGGAACAATACGCCCATCTTTTTTATACGAGATCCGATGCTCTTTCCAAGCTTTATTCATACCCAGAAGAGACTCCCTAGTACACATTTGAAAGATGCTGATATGATGTGGGACTTTTTCTCTTTAAGACCAGAGACTTTGCATCAACAAAGCTTCTTATTCACGGATCGTGGAATTCCTGATGGATTTCGCTTTATGAATGGCTATGGTAGTCATACATTTACAAATGTGAACGTTGAAGGTGAGACTACATATGTCAAATATCATTTTAAAACTGATCAAGGTATTCGAAACTTGCCAGTGGAAAAAGCAGCAGAACTAGCTGGTTCTGACCCAGATTATGCTATTCGTGACCTGTACGAGGCTATTGATACTAAAAAATACCCCTCGTGGACACTGTACATTCAAGTCATGACTCCAGAGCAAGCGGATAACGAGACAATGAATCCTTTTGATGTAACCAAGGTCTGGTCTCACTCCAAGTATCCGCTCATTGAAGTGGGTCGTCTCGTCCTCAATCGTAATCCAAGCAACTACTTTGCAGAAATTGAGCAGCTTGCTTTCTCCCCGTCGAACATGGTACCAGGTATTGAGCCGTCGCCCGACAAGATGCTGCAGGGTCGTCTATTCTCCTACCCGGACGCGCATCGTTATCGTCTTGGTACCAATTACAATCAGATTCCAGTTAATCGACCTCTTCAAGTGCCGCAAACGTACCAACGTGACGGCTTCATGGCCATTAATGGTAACATGAACGACACGCCCAACTATTTTCCAAATAGCAAGAATGGGCCGCCTGAAAACACGACGCTGCGCTATCGCGCTTACCAAGGCAACCATTCGATGGTGAACAAGTACTCGACCCATGACGATGACAATTATTCGCAAGTCGGCGAGTTTTACCGCAAAATACTAGACGATGCAGCTCGTGAACATCTTACGGACAACATTGCCGCCTCATTAGTGAACGCGTCCCAACCTGTCCAGGCTCGAGCTATTGCCAATTTCACCGAATGTGATCCCCATTACGGTCGTCGTGTGCAGGAAAAGGTGGATGCACTGGCCTCGCAGAAGCAGCATGCCACACCTGATTCACTTCCGGCTCCAGCCAGTTTGAATCCACCCCGCGAGCCCTACACACCCGCTCCGCCGTCAGACGACGTGGCCCCGCCATTGTAAGCTGATTGGAGCTGCTGAGATGTTGAAGTTGGTGTAGCCATCTAAGGTGATTGGCAACAGTCTTAGGTCGATTGATTACGATATTGGTGCCAAAGCTCAATGTAATCATTTGGTTCTAACTGACTTGTAATAATATATATTTCTTATATTAATTCTCTTGTATTTTCAGTAATCTGTTCATTAATTCTCGTAGCTTATTAAAGACGTAGAAGTTGAGATATCTCACATCTCGGTGGTGAACATTCTCCTACACTTCACTTCGATTGATTCCATCTTGATGACTGAGTCTACGCAACGCCGCACCATTTCAGAGCTAGATATCAGTTCTATGCGTCGTATTAGTGACGCGTTATTGCTCGCTCAAAACCGTGCACGGCGTGCTACAGATCGTGCAAATCAAACCGAACAGTGCGTCCTTTGCACTCTCAACAAATTTCTGATAATTTTAACTCTTATGCTGCATTATTATCATGTTATGCAGCATGTTACAAGTTGTGCTGGCTCAAGTGGATGTCCCAAGACTCCGAGTCAACTCAATGGCCGAGTGGGAACTGCTTCGGACTGCTGTCACATCTAATTCCTTGTTAGGAAGACCCAGTCCTCGACCAAGAACTACTTTGTTGGTACCGGATGATCCAGTGTTTGTTTCTCCTTCTTGCTGCTTCCAAGAGGTGGCAAAGAACGTGGTGATCAATTTGAACACTAGGATGAATCGCCAGAAACGTTACGTGAATCAACTGAGACTGCCAAGATTCCACTTTTTAATTTGGTGTCACAAGAAGAGAGACTTCGTTGGTCCTGTTCATTTTGTGGCTGGCTTTCTAGCTGGAGTTGTAGTTGGTGTCATATTGACGAAGCAATGGCAATTGCAGCTTCGACACACATATCAAGAGACACCGTCACTTTTCAGCAAACTGGCAAAATGGTGTCGTCGACGAGCATTTGTAGCTCGAACACCGCGGCATTTGATCCCAATGCCAATGAACGAGTACAGTTACCTGATGCATTCTGCAATGGTCGAAGTTGGGTGACTTGATAAGATTTTGTAGGACAAAGATATATGTGCAGATACATTCGATATGAAAAAACATGTAAATAGCATTGACTTCTGATTCCTCGCCATTTTTATTGCATGCTCTAGAAAGAATCTCGTTCGGTTTTGCTTGTATATTTCCAAAAGCTGCTGCATCGTCACGACAAGCTGACTGCGCTCTTCGATCCTTTTCAAGTGGCTAGTAAATTGACTCTTAGCCAACTCGCTAGCTCCAGGTAAAAGTGAGCTACGGAGGCTGCTATGACGATCGCCATCCCCATCCAACTTCTCTTCCACAGCCCACCAACTGCATAGCCAGTGACATTCTCCATCGACTTAGATAGAAAATTCATTGAAGCTGCTCTTGTCTTTCTTGCTCTTACTTTTGCCCTTGGCCTTTTCTTCACGGGCAATTCTCACAGCTACTGGTTCACTTGTTTTCTTCTTCTTGGTCTTGGTCTTCATCACAGCCTTAATGTCCACTACGTCCGAGATTTCCGTCTCTTTTTCAGAAACCTTTAGAGGCTTTTTCCCCTTCTTTTTCTTCTTCTTCTTGTCCGACGTGGCAGACGTCTCCATTGCCACGATAATCTCTTCTTTCTCCTTTTTAGGAGCGTCTTCTGCTTTAATACCGAGATCAGCTAAAGCAGCTTCCAATTCCTTCATCTCCAGCTCTTTCTTTTCTTTCTTAGAGAGAGTACGAGCAGGTGTGATTGGTTTGGTAAGAAGTAGTGGTTTCTCATTCTCTTCTTCTTCTTCTTCTTCTTCTTCACTGTCACTTTCATCATCATCATCATCATTTCATCTTCTTCTTCTTCTTCAAGTTCTTCATCTTCTTCATCTTTTTCCTTAGAAATAGCTGTTACATGTATTTCGTCATCACTATCATCACCCCAAGCAGAAGTCGATGGATTGTTTACAAATGATGCAAACATTGTATTCTTTGGTCCTTCTAGTGTCTTTTTCTTGCGTTTTTCAGGCTGCAATGCGGCAAAGACGTTTGTGGGAGCACTCATAGTGAATTCAGGTTGAAATGACACGAGGAAGACGTTTAATCAAAGGAGCTTGTGTCGGATCTTAATGACTGGAAAGGGGAGACTTGAAAAAAAAGATAATGGGGAATATATATTGCAATAGTAAGTTAGAATATCAGGTTACGTGAAATATAAGTTGTTTTCTTACAGATAATATTGTTGTGTTTGGATTGGCTAAAATTCGAGTTCATAGCGGCACCGAATTGTTTTCGTCAACATGTAGCCAGCACACTAATTTCTAACGTAACCCTGAGGTCAGCCATCATCTGTACCTATCACTTAAAGAGTGAGTTGTTTGCTCTCGTCGTCGACGTCACAGTACAAAAATTAACATATAGAGGGACAAAAATAGCAGTCATCAAGTCACCCCCTTATTCGGGGTCAGTCGTAAGTGACTCTTCGTTATTTCTATTTATTGGATAGCCATTTCCATTTCTAAAAATTAAAACAGAACGTCGTTAGCGAGACCAATTTACTGACTTATTGTGTGGTCATGTCATACTTCAAGGATGTTTACGGTGGTTTACGAAAGGAAATGACTGCAACATTTGATCGAACAGAAATTGTATCGGTTGTTAGTGGTGGGAAAGCCGGGTATGCGAATCTCAAGCATTTAAATGTCGGATCACCCGGTAGTGACGTCAGTGATCTTGGAGATACGGCCGATCTAGATGAATTATTGGCACAGGGATCAAGTCATGGACCACAGACTCATCCGGGTACATTTTGCGCTGCTGCCAAGGTGGTATGATTGTTGCTTGAATGTATGGAGCTGATTATGGTGAATTTTTGGTAGGTATTATTTGCGGTGCCATTTTTTCGCTCACGGGGTTTTTGTTATTGGTAAATTTGTATTTTTAGCTTCGTTTGTGTGGTAAATACTTATGAGTTTTATGTTTTTGTGCATTTTGTTGGTAGTTCCTGGTGGGGTGTATTGTGAGTAGTAATTCACTATACATTAAAGTTCGACCACCGAAAGGAAAACCCAAGTCATCACTAGCGACGAGTATTTTCCTAGCGGCGTTCTTGTATCTTTGCATCTTTGGTACGAGTGTCATGTATTTCATGCGTGGACGACGTGCACAAAAGGTGTATCAACTCTCACTAGATGTTCACGCTGATTAAACTCTCTGGAACGTGGATCATCATCTAGTTAGGGTGTATACGAGACGATCATGCACTGAATTTTGTAGATTAGCAAGAACGAGCAATAACAAGCACTTGAGCAACACAGAACATCATCAGAAACAATCTTATAGAGCAAGACACGGATATTCATTTGGAATTGCTAAAAAAGTAACGAGACCAAGACATCGTGGCTATGGCCATATTAAAGATAATCCATCCTACGAGAACTAGCCGCCGAAATCTGTTGTCTCCGCTTTCCCGAATTATCTTCACTCCTCCTGGGATGTTGCTTGCTTGCTCTCGTCCAGGTTTTTTTCATCGGGAGCTCCACTTTCATCCTCGTCGGCTGATGCATCATAAACCATTAGCAGATTCTTGTCGAAAGCAGCTGCAAGCACTTGTTGAGCAACTTCCGCGCGAGCCTTCTTCTTGCTAATGGCGTTAGCTGTAGCAATGTGCTCGCCATTCAGGTAACCCATACACTTAAACTCCGTAAACTCCTTACTTTTTGGTGACACATCTTCAACGTCAAAGCGGGCCTGAAGTATTCCACGTTGAGTAAGTTGATTCAGTAACGGCAACGGTTGAAGCTGGCGTTCCACCCAACTCACCCGTGCAGGTAACTGAGAGGAGTTGTCAAGTGCCTGCTGTGGCGTTGTCAAGACTACAGGCTCATTTACTAATGGATGACCACTTGCTTTTGCACGCACGAATCTTTCCAGGTATACCAGGTCCTCTGGGGTAAGTTTGTCAGCTGCTTGCTTGTCATTCCAAAGCTTTTCAATCACAATTTTGCACGCTTCATTCTTCACAATTTTCTTGGAAGTACCTTGAACATTGGCTGCAAGAACTTCACCGGTAGAACCGTTTGCAATGGTGCATTCAAAAAGAGCTTCTTCACCTTTGTCAGCATTGTACCGAGGTTGAATATCTACCATCATCCTTTGCTTAATCTTTATAAAGTAGCCATACAATCTTGAAGCAGCAAAAGTATCATCTTCTCTCGTTGGCAATGGTGTCTCATCCAGTCTTTTTTGCATTGCTAGTTTTAATTGCTGCTCTTTCTCTTCCTGTGTAAATTCAGGTACATTTGATATTTTTGCTGCTGCCAGAGCCGTTTGCATTTGAGTAGCTCGAATTTCCATCAATTCCGCTTGTTTCAATGCTTCCTTCCGTTGTGCGGCTTTCACCTCTTTTTTCAAATTTAAAAATTGAGCTTTATCCGGATGAAACTGTAATGCTTTTTCAACAATTTCGTTTGCTTCGGTATACCGATGTTCCATTAGTCTCAGTTTCGTCATTGCATAAAGGGCTTTTTTCGATGATTGGTCGACATTTAACGCTTTCAAAGCGTAGTCATTGATAATGGAGCAATCTTTCAATTTCAGGCCACAAATTGCAATATTATTGCACAACATCACATACCGTTCTTGCATTTCCAATTCATCCCAGTGCTTCACTGGAACACTTTTCCCATAATACTCACTTTTTTGATGTTGCAAAACTGCATCAAGACTTGTTAAAAATGCATTTTTGGCCGCATAATAATTTTTCTCCTGAAACTTTATTTTACCATCATTCTGTGCCTCATCGGCGTTTTGTAAATATTCAGGCGATGTCACGTCATCATTTGCATGCTGTAACGTCATCAGGTGGTCCTGTGCCGCACGGAAATACACGTGGTCCACATCATGACCCTGATTCTGCGTTTGCGGGTCCAGAGCTCTCATATTTAATAGTGTGTGTCGCACATGAGGATCCCAGACCCAATCTTCAAATGAACGTGAAGAATCTCGAAGAAATGTTAATAATAAATCTTGTACACCACGAAGAGAGAGCAAAGGCTGTAGAAAATTCTTTGTTTCCTTGTCACTAGCGCTCAAGACATTGCGTAAACGCGTTAATTCCGCCATACTCATAGTCAGTCTAGTATCAATCTGATCCAGCCCCTTTTGGTTAGTGAAACGCCGTAATTACGGTCGTAAAAACCCACAAGCAGAGTGATGGTCTACCATGTGGTACACATTATATACGGTGGGGTGGGAAAACGTTTGGTCAGGATCCTAATGGCTACTAGTGCGGACAATCTGGCGACAGTGACAACAGAGCCAGTGTATCAAGAGCAATCAAGTGATGACTCGTCGACCCTTTGCTGTGATGATGAGCCCAGTACAGCGGGAGAGAAAAGAAGAGCGACAGGGCGGCATGAAACTAGCACCCAACGTGTGCGGGCTGTCCGGATAACAACGCGGATATATCCGGACATTCTGATACCGTATCTCTATGACGAGCGCAGTGGTCGTAGTATTAATGCTATAGTAAACACTACAGGCTGCACAATTGACTATTGTGCTCTATCACCGGATGAATTTGAACAGTCGCCCACGTCGCGTGGCTATGTGATGAGCTTTTTAGTGTCGGCAGGTTCAAGTGAGACGTTGGAGGACGCCACGAACGAATTGCGGACATTGGTAGAGACAGTACAGGTGTATTTGCAAAAAAAAGCCCGAGGAAGTAGCCGACACGAGAGAAGCCATGAACGGGACGAGTGCAGAGAGTGGAGGAATGACATGGAAAGAGAAGCAGGAGTAAAGCTGAATGAAAGGTGGACGACTAAAGGTGGACCATTAGTGGACGTGGACGATACATTTTTTTCTTCTTGGGAGACCCCATCAGCAATGCACAGAATGTATGGTCGTTCTCGAAAACCACATGTTTTTCGCGAACGTTCGCGATATCCAGCTGTTTTGGAAACAGATGACAAGAATAAGGAATTTGTGATGACTCAGCGACATAAGCGATATACTGTTAAAAGTGCAGCTCGAGTGGAATCGTCATATATGCACCCAAGGTGTCAATCGCCCACTCATTTTGGTACGCATCGTCGAGGACGAAGAGATCCCAAACATACTCGATGGACACCGAGATATTCTCCAAGTCAAGTTCGGACTGAAGCTGGATATCCAATGCATGATGAACATGGAGAAAATGAAGATCCTTACGGAAGTGCTCGCAATATCCGACACCCACCTCACATTTCTCACGAATCGTGGAAACGCTTTGCAGAACCAGAATATAATTGCTATGATTACGACAAGCCAAGATATGAGGAGAATAGCGCCAACTTTACGGCAAACAGTGAGACTGCGGATGTGACAAATGAAAATGCTCGATTGAATGAAGCTTCCAAAGGTTTTTTGGAACAATATCACCAGTCTATGGATCGACGACATTCTCGTCGAACGCGTAAGCGCCCACTTAGTAAAATGCAACGGGATGGAGCACCACCACCGACTATTTACCGGCACCGGATCCCGTATCTTTATGACTATATGGTTGGTGATGAAAACAATGACTGGATGACTGAAGATGAAGAAATGGATGGTGGCTATGGGTATCCTCTACACTTTCGCCCCATAGAGGTCCCAGTTGTACGTCGGGGACGACGCTTTGAAAGTACAAATGCACAACGATGGAGTAGTCCTGCTGGGCGTGGGCCCCAACAAATGTACAAACGACGTCAAGAATCACAAGAAGACCTAGCACTCCATAGTGAGATGACGGATGACATAATGTTTGAAACGCGTCATCGCGAGCACGTTTCCTCTCCGCCTCCCAATATTCGTACGGTACTTGTGGATTCGCTTGACAAAGTTGCAGATAACGCTGGCGATGGTGCTTTTTCAGACCACACGGACACTTTTGCAGGAAATCTAGGAATCGTCGATGAGGGACCAACACCGTCAAGTTTGAGTGTGGCTCACACTGACAATGCTTGTCAGGAATTTAGACAAAATGATAGTGTTATGAACGAGGTTCCTTCGCAACTTGCTGTTGACGAGCTTGCCGCCTTCAACGTAATCAAAGAAGCAGAAAGTTTGACCAGAGAGATGCTATCAGAGAAAGAAGATGAAAGCGCAAATGAACAAAACTTTCAATTGACAAGCGACAACGCCACGGCAGACGAGCATCCAGTCGAACATATATTACAAAGTGAGGTCGTGCCGCTGGATTCGAACGCATCGATCCAAGAAACGATTGCCTTCATGTCGCCGCAAAGATCGGATGCACCAACAAATATCCCGACAAGGTACGGCTCAACCTCAGTCTTTACTGAAGCGCTCTATTTCCACGTCTGACATAGTTGCTGTGCTTTTGTAATGATAAGGGAAAGCTGTGTTGCAAGCTCTCCATCATATGTCGTGAAGGATACCGACCACAACACCCCTGGTAGTGCGATGAACGCTATGGAATTATCTGCAGAAAGCAGTGAAGAAAACCAAGCAGTGTCTGTTGACCCTGAAGTTCCGCTCGAAAAGGAGTCGCCCGTTCCAGTACCAGTAGTATCTGAATATAGTGTGCTATACGACTGCAGTTTGAACAAAGAGAAGCCCACTGTGTCGACCGTTGATAGTATCGTCACCGATACTGTTCGAACTAACAATCATGCCATTGCATCGTTAGAGCGACTGAACGAGGTGGAAGCCGATTACAAGAGTGCGAAGACTTTGCTTTTGATACAGGAAGATAAATTGCGTCAAGTGAAAAGCAGCAGTAAAAGTTGTCGAAGGATGGAAATTCTTTGCGGCATTGCTTATGATCTACAGTGGCATGTTCGTTCTCCTTCGTGCGGCTTGAACGAATCTCGAAAACAAGAGCTGTTGGGTAAGCTTGGCACCTACCTTGAAGCTATATTGATACGAAAGGAGCAGACACTGCAAGAAAGAGCTGACGCGTTGCAAGCTGGCTTAGAGCATTTTCTAGCTGTGGACATACCTATTGTCGATAACCAAGTTGCCGAAAAGAAGACAGAAGCTGTTAAGCTTAACAGCATTTCGAATAGCAACAATATGCCATTAATCCAGACTGATATGCACGACGACCGACCTGGTGATGGAAATGATAGAGTGTGGGAGGACGATGATTGGTTTGAAGAAGGAGCATTTGATGACCCGGCAAGTGAATCAGATGAGCAAGAAGATGTTGTGGCGCAGATTCCTTCTGAAAAGAGTAACTTGAAACTCGGAGGTGATTTTCTGGCCGTAAAGATGGAAGAAGAGGCGTCGCTTCGGTGGCCTCGCGAGCTACCGCCGTTTTTGTGGTCCCTACTAGAACGAGTAATATCTTCTGATCCACAATCGTACGTTATGAGGGTAACACTTAAGCGATTGCTCGATGAAATCGCAAAGGGGGACCCATACTATTACCTGCACCCGACGAATGCGTCTAAGAATGCGAATGTATCTTCGCCGTTGCACTCGTCGCCCTCGCCAGGCTGTGAATTCGGATGCCGGGGCGCGTCAGCTTTGAAGTGGGAGCGAAAACTCGTGTCACAAATCAGCTCGCGGATGAAGTCCTTTGATAACGTAGCGTATTCGCTAGCCCGTAGTAGCGGAGGCAAAGAAGTCCTTAACCGCAAGAAGATGAACTCGATAATCCGCAAATTGCATCTTGTTGCGATGCAGCTGCACTCACTGGTATCACACCTGTATTGCGTGAAGGGCCACGTGACATGCAAAGAGGTTGATTCACTGCCAGTGGCGCTGAATAATTCCCATTTTGAGCGCAAGATGGGTGTATACAAGTCAAGGCTAAAGCTTGTGGTTCCGCATAAGTATCAGCAGCAGACTCAACAAGAGCAACACAGTTCAAATGAACCTGGCGAAGAGATTTTACGGGACACGTACGAGTTCTTTCCCGAGCTGCTCCTCTGTATTGATATCTGGGGATATAATTATCGAGAAAGCCTAGGAAAGCAGCACAACAACAATTTGATCAGTGGTAAACTTGCTGGCTCGGAAGCAATCTCGGAGACTGCGCTGTTTCCACTCCGTTATTTCCGTAAAGTGGAAAGTCTGGCGTTTGACTTTGAGAATGACAGCAATGATCTGCTTCATTGCGTCTGTGACGAGCTCCTTAACATCGTGTGTTTGTGGAACGATTTTAAGTGGACCGATAATCTTGAGGCTGTGGCATTAGATCGGGTGTTGTCTTTTGAGGCGGATGTGACTGCTAGTATCCTCAAGATTCTTGAGCTTTATGCTCACCACCTGCAGGCATTATGGTCAGTGCGTCTCATGAATGAACCTGACCAGCTTCGATGTATTCAATTCACGGAGTTCAATGCGTATTATAGTGATCGAAGCCAAAGGAGCTTGAATACGACTGCTCGCTCTCAGTCACGAATACCAGGGGTGTCAGAGAATCGTGGGGATGGTCCTATTTGCGACTCGAAAACTTTGTTCAACATGTGGCAACCGAAGCCCTGGAGCATCGCCTTGCTGAGGAGTATTGGAATCGAAAAGTCACCGCACTTTCTAATCGGAACCCAGGCGATGACGAGATGAAAGTGGGTTCCGACTTCAAACTTCAATTACTGAGTGATGAAGCCATTTGCTCGTGGGACCAACATACTTTGATATCATATTTACTACGGTGGAGCGACGTGTATGCTATTCGCACGGAAGTGAACGCGCTCTCAGTTGTTACAAACCATATGATGAAGCACGAGGTCCAGAAGTTTAGGTTCATGGGTCGTGATGACACTAACGTGACTAGTGGCAGTTATGTGAACAAGACGATGGTTGATTCATCGACAAGGCGGCTTCTTGCTGCTGTAGGTCGTGCGCAAATGCTGATCCAGGATGCTGTAATTGGTTCCGAGAAACTTGCGCTACATTCTGCATCAAACCAGCTTCCTAACGAGAAAAAGCAACTGAAGCCGTTAGATTTCAAAGGCAGAACAGGAAATAAAACAAGCTCTTCCAGCAGGGAAGCTGCACCATCTTGCCCAAATTCGACTTGCATAAATGACGCAGGTGCTCACTCGGATGATGCTGTTTCGGAGACCGTTTTTCATGCTGAAGCCATTGCGTCGAAAGATGCAGACAGCTACGACGCTATTGAAGACGTAAACATTGACATTGGTATGACTGGAGAACAACCTGAAGTAAATGATCTGATTCAATTATTGGTTGTCACGAAACAAGACATGCAGGAGCTTTGCGGCCACAGACCGCGGTCAGCTCGCATGCGTGAGAAAGTTCAGATGCAATCACTGCAGCTTGCGCGGCAAACGGTCGAGATTTTCCGGAATATTAGGAACATGTATGGTTCCCAGCGGCGATAATGATGGAAATGTCAACATGGTGCAGTGCCAATATGTATTGAGTCTGCATCCTCAGGCGAGGTAAACGTTCTGAAGCTGTGATAGTAAACTGCAGAATAATGTCTGACTCGTTTCCCGCATCGGATACACGCATTTGCTGGAAACCCAAGACGTCTAGCCTCATGTCACCACAACGTTGTCCGATGCCTGAAAAATCTTATGGCGCTGGACATGATTGAAGATAAGAGGTGACCAGTGAACGTATTGATCAGAGACTTGGATCTTGGTGTCAAAAGTTTGTATACGAGTTGAGTTTGCTCCAAATGATGTCCTGAGAAGCGTGTTTGCTCTTGATTGTTCCAACAAATGGAAAGCCCGCTCATTACAACAATACCACCCGTTTCAATGCTCCGAGAGAATACAACGTGGTTTCTATGGACGAAGTTTAAAAGTCATACAATAAAATGATGCTGTTGCATCTTTTTATTTTTCCGAAAGTGTAAAGATTGCGCAGCTGTGGTTGCACGTTTGTGCTGCTGCATGTAGCTTCTTGGTTGCTATACCGGCTCATGGACGACCCAATGTGTCCAACCTCTTTTGAATTTTGCGTAAATAGATTACTATTGGATACGTTATTTGTATTGTAGCGTTTGCTTTATCTTTAACACTTATACTCATCCAATTGTTTACGTAAGAATTGAAAGCTAACCTCATCAATTCACCATGATTCTACTCAATCGAATGCGGCCAGAAAAACTCTTCCACACCTTCTCGATTTCATCATGCTTCCACTTCATGCAAAAACAAAACGTGTCAGGATTCTCAACATAAACAAACGTCTTCATCACAAGTGGATCATCGGTCCTCGATGATCCACTTTTTAAACGATAGAAGACGCGCTCGGTGCAATACACGTCGTATACCTTCACCAACACCTCGACCTACACATGCAAGCGTCAGCACATTCGCACATACACAACAGAATATACGCACATACAAGTACCTTGTATCTGCTGCCATTTGATAGTTTCTCCTCAACAGATACTGGGAACATGTTGACGATGGGAATATCAAGACTGAGACCGTCGTAAAAGCCATGCATTTCGCGAGAAAGTGCGAGCCTATTGTTCGGATCATGATCGAACTTGCCATATTGACTCTTGTTGCGATTGCATTGCTTTCTCGAAATCATGTGGCAGCTTTCTGGCTTGCCGTATGGGTAAAACAGCCAGTCCTCTTCAATTCCCATACAACGATACTCTTCACTTGCGAAGTCCAGAACCGAACGGATTGTAGACGACGAAACGGATACCAGTGTAGTCTGCGGAGAATCTGACTCCTGTGAATCATAGTCGAGAAACTGGATATGATGTAGTTCAATATACCCAGCTTCAAATCGTGTAAATTTGCACGTAACAATTTGGCCGGACAATCGAGAGCCAAGCGTATGCGGATCCGAATCCAAGGCATTTTTGAATAGCCATGCATCTTTTTCTGAACAAATGAACGAAAGACAATTAGTAAGCACAAGCAGCACTATTACACAGTGGCAAGATCGTCGCACCTGTCTTGAATAGAACATGAATGCGCAATTTCTTGGCTTCATACCAAAAAGCGACATCCTTGTCTTTTTCTTCTTTCCGGAGCGCCGGATCGTAGTATCCACACCGTGCTGACGCCAGCCGATAAAGATGGTAGCGAATTCCTTTTGTGTCCAGCGCGTTCTCAATAGATCCGCTGACGAGCCACAACCCTATATTTGGTTGTGCATGCTCCGGAACCCTCACCAGCACGTGAATTTGTTTTCCTTTTGGATCCTCCATACCTTCAAGGAGATCGGCAATATCGTCCTCTGCTTGCAGCTTTTGGTCTTCTTTCATTAACTCTACAACGTGATGAGTCTTCTCGCCCTTCTTCAGCTGTATTACATCGTCCGAGCTCGAGGCCAGCCACTTGCCCTCTACCATCTTGGCAGGGTAGAGCTGCAGGTTGCGCGCAGGACATTGAATATCTGAATTCTCCACCTTGATAGCCTTCTTTAAGTCACCCACCAACTGTCATCCTTGTCAACATCCGACAGGAAATACGGTTTGGCTTTCGTACCAACGATCGCGCATATCAACTTTACCATGCCTTCTTTAGTCGGCAGATTGTCGAATGAGCGAAAAGGATGTGGGACATCCTTTCATTCTGATTGGCTGACTACCACAATAACATATTGATGCCCTTCTTCTACGCAAACGACTCAGACGGGTCAGAGTTGTCCTTTCTAATCAACCAACGTCGGACTGAGCCGGTTCACTGCAAGTATGACTACTAAAACCGTTGAAATAGGTCAGATTAATCTCTACTATGTCACTTGCACATAGTTTTATACTCCCTGTAAAT